TCCGGGGTGTCTTGGTTCGAGAGCCGTCAGAATCGCTGCCTGTCGCGGCAGCTGTTAAGCCAGCTGTTCGCGACATCTCGGATGCTGCTCGTTTCAGGTTTGGAAGACTCGGGACAATGTCTCCGGCGGAGGGTCGATCATGCTCTTCCATGCGATCATCTTCAACTGGGTCGTTTGGATCTAAGAAGTGATCGTAAATCCAGCAATTCTCGAGACCCTCTATAAATATCGGAGAGTTACGTAGAAAGTGCCATGAAAACTTGTCCTGGCGCATGGCTATATATAGAGAATCGATCTTGCCGTTGGCCTCGCAGACGCCGCAAAATTTCTTGAGAAAGTTGAGATCATAGTCGCTGTCAACAAGTCTGGAGTCCAGTGGCCTGAGCATGGGAAGCCCTTGGAGCCTTTCTGCGTCGCAAAGCTTGGCCTGTAGAGGCATCCAGGATCTTCCTCTGAGTAGGCTACCGAAGGATTTTGTAACAGCCTCAACAAAAGAGTCACTATCTGGACCGCCAACTACTACAGTCCGGTGGAGCCCTCGGGACAAGCAGCGCTTGTAGGCGTTGGTGTCCCTTTCGAATGGGAAAGGCTGAGAGGCTGTCGGAAGAAGCGAAATATGAACTGTCCAAGCTCCACAGTTGCTTGAACTTGTGTTGGAATCGGCGGTGCTGAGGGTTGGTGAGGTACGGATGGTTTCTCCTGGAATGACCTCGGCCTCGGGCTGTGAATACAGAGTGACACCCAGCGACTGTTGCCGGTTGGAGGCCGTCACAGCGTCTGGCCGGGACAAGATTGCTTCCTCTGTCATGTTCGGGACCTGGCCACCTCGACTGGCCAAAGAATCATGGTCCGACTCTAGCTGATCCAGTCTCTCTTCGATGCTTTCGTCGGCGTCGAAAAGCTCCAATTGTCGATTGCTGACGCTCTCCAACTCCCCGTTGACACGTTCCATGTGTTCTGACTGGGAGCGTAGGGCTTCCCGAAGGTGGGAGGTTTGACGCTCAAGCTGCTCTACAGACTGCCATACTCTGTTGATGTTGCGATAAGAGCCCTTGATCTCCTGGCCTATCTCTTCACGACTTTTGTCGACAAGGTCTTCCAGTTCGCTCACTCTGGCAACGACGGTTCCAAGGCCGCCTTGTCTCTGCTGGTCAAGTTGTTCTTCGAGGGCTTGAAGTCGCTGCTTCAGAAGTTCGACCTCCTCTCTGGTCGATGACGGCTCTGGGGTCTTGACATGATAGCAGGCCATGTGCCCACAGTCGCAACTAGCGCCGGGCGTAGATCGATTGAGAGAAAAGTGAACACAAGCGCATCGTTGGCCTTTGATGCCAGGTACGAGCAATATGTAGCGGCACTGACCCTGGGGTAGAGATTTCTCATCGACACGGCCAGTCGGGCCTTGCAACGGCGAGGGAGATGAAGTCGTCGACATGAAGGGTGAGTTGGTGTTGATGTTCTTCGTGATGAGCTTTCTTCAAATGAGACCAGCGGCTGCTAAAACAGCATAGGTTGAGTAAAGTGTGACTACAGTCGATAGTGCTAGTCACCGTCGGGGCGATTGCCAGTGCTTCAGAGAGGGCGCGCAGGAGACACTGAATACGATGCAGCGAGGATGAATGGTTGAGCCATGGAATGGATGTCGAAGATTGACGGTTAAAGGTCAGTGGTGGTGGTCGGAAATGCAGAAGGCCAACCAAGAAGCACGGGCTTGATCAGGTAGCAAAGGGCGAGTAAACAGAAGGGAAAGTCAGATGTTGTGAGGGTTGGCGGGGACGGCTCTTTAGATAGCAGGCCAACAACCGGGAGGTGGACCGGGACCGGGAAGATCAAGGCGTGGGTCTGGGCGAGGTGCCTAGATTCGGGGTTCGATGTCTGGGGTAAGGTAGAATACCAGGAACCGAGCTGGGAGTTGCGATACGCGACGAGATGGGTATCTCGTCGTACAGCAGAAGAAGCACGGGATGATGATGGGGCCAGCGGGGCGGAGGAGTGAGAATGAGATACGGTACGGTGATAGCGGTGGCAGGACTTGTGCGGGCAACGTGTGTCGTAGACGCGGATGTGGACGTGGCTGTTTGTTGGTGCTAGAAGACAATGACTGTACTGCACACTCCGTATGCGTACTCGGTCAGGTACTCAGTTTGAGCGGCGAGCAGGATGGATGGGAATGACTGGGGTTGCGATTAGGGAGAATAAGGTCGGGAGAGTCATGGTATCGTAAGGTAGACAAGGCGATTGTAATACATGAGATGCGGCGATTCAGGTTGGGAAAAGGAAGGGCGAGGGTGAAGGTAGTGGGCCTCGAGAGACGGACGGGCAAAAGTTGCAGACGTGGGCGGAGCGGAAAGGAAGTGGCATTGGATGGAGATAAAAAGGCGTGTCGTGTCGAAGGGGCAAGGGGGAAGGGGGGGGGGGGGGTGGGCAGGCCGCAGGGTGACAGGGGGGAGTCTAGGGGAGAGAAGCCGAGAAGGGGAGCGGTTTGTCAAGTTTTGCAGCGCAGCACCTACGGATATTCCTCTGAATGTCCAACCGTTCACTCCCACAGCACACACTACGCAGTATGGATCGGGGGGGTGTAGAATATCCCGACGTGCAGAGGAGGCTTTGGGCAGAGAGTAAATACAAAAGACGTGACGAAAAAAGAGAAACAATCAGGGTCGCTTACGTGGTGAGGATGGCGAGGTGAGGTCTAATTCCATCGAAAGGGCTGTGAGCGATGCAGCGCGCATTGCAGTGCAGACGGGGGCCATGGTAGATGTCTGTCAATGATTCGAGGGCCAGATTCGTCAGGGCCGGGAAGAATGAGGGAATTGGAGTTCGTCGCAAAGTGCGAAAGGGCGAGGCTGGCCTGATTAAGGTACCTTAGCTAGGTTCCGGCTGCCCGTACGGCCTACCTGAGATGGATGGCTGCTGCGAAGGTAACTATTTACCTTGGCCAACAAGGCACTGGTAACACTAGGTTCGTAAAGTAGTTCCCGTCTTCTCACAAGTTTCTCTCTTGTTGTCCCTTCCTCTCCTTCTCTTTTGACGGTCATTGCCCATCCGCCTACCTCAGTATGAGACTATGGTGTGCGGATGAATACGCTACACTACTCCATCATACGGGGAAGCGGGAAGCGGCAGGCGGGACAGTGGATTATTCGCGCGACATTGGGGGTGAGGGGGACCACTGGGGGGGACGGGGGGGAAGGGGGAGGGGCCGAGGGTATGATTTCATTCGTAGGGGAAACATGAAGGTTGGGGGCTTCCTTACCTAACCTACCTAGGTCTACGGGTACCTTTATTCCAATCGCACTGGCCGTTCCCCTGGAAAGCCAAATAGGGATACCTAGCATTTGGCTGCCACACACTCCAAACTCCATGTATTTCCTACCAGGAGAGGTACTTACGGAAGCTAGGTCAGATAATAGGCAGGAATCCCACACTAGCCGGGGCATGCCCGCCGCGCCGTTTTTCGACATGACAGTTCAGGTTATCAATCAGCTCAACCAAATGGAACCCCCAAACACCTCACGGCCAAACCATCAACACCAGCAACACGGTGGCGCTTTGTTGCGCACATCTTGGAATACCGTACCAACATGCTTGTCTAGGGGAGTAACTAGTTTGGAGGAAAACTAACAGGAAAAAAGCAGGCAAGCAAGATATCGAGGTTGGCCTTGACCTCACCCGACGCCCGCAGCCCGCACGCAATTCGCCGCCACGGTGCCGACATCTTCACTCGCGCCAGACGGTTGCCATGTGGTGCAAGACGGTTATTCCTGGTTTCGTCAAGGTACCAAAGGCAAGCATCCAAGGAGAAGCAAGAGCCCTCCCACGCTCTCCCGTCGGCGCCCACCCATGTGCGCCCGTCAGATGCTCGAGAGACAGCCTCTGAGTGGTCCATGTGGGGGACCAACCAGATAAGACGCACTGCAACCATCAAAGTCTTACCAACCCAATGGAAGACGCAGATATCCTCCATGTGTGCGGCGTGCCTGCTCGCTAGTCTATACCTCACCTCACATTCTCTGCCCATGAGTTGCTGCTGCCGTTGGGTACGGACCGTACGGAGTACAGTACCGGTATCCGTGGGTATCAATCATTCACATGTGCAATCATGTCTAGTGCCTCCCGTGAGAGCATGGAACGAACGGCTGCGGGCGCTGTTGAGCAGGGGTCCGATTGCAGTCGGCCGGTTCGGACGTGGAATTTTTGCACTCGACACCTGATGGATCAGAACTTCTCAGTACATACCTACTAGCTACCACGCACCTCATGACGCTGCATGGCGGGTGCTTGTTAGGTAATTGTTTGGATCAGGAACCCGCGCACGAGATGCCTTTGGTGAGAGAAAAAAAAAAAAAAAAGAGCCGCGTGGGTCGCGCTTGCCAACTGCCAGATCCCAGTGCCCGCACTCGTCAAGATGGTATTGCCGCCGACTTTCGGCCATGCAGGTTTACGCCACCTCAGATAGAGATCCTACAATACTTTGTTACCTAGATCGCAGCCTCACATGCGCAGATTGAGATGACTCTTTCCCTTGGTACGGAGTACGGATACCCATGTCTCTGCTGCTTTCGAAATATCTTTCCCTTCGTCTGGGCTCACTAACAACATTCCCACCTATGGCTACCTAGGCCATTGGACAATGAGACATCAGTATTGCGACGATGCATCGCCCCGCCATCCGTGCTGTGCACTTATACTTCCGTACATACATAGCAAGGCGATTGGCGGCATCTGTGCAGCTAAATCAGGGTGCACAGCAGACCGGAACATGAATGTGTACATCGGTGAGGTAGGCCGCTATCTGCATCTCTACCTTACAAGTAGTATCGTGCAGATCAACGAGACCGACCGCCTCGAGCTGCCGACGTCACCTCCTGCCACACCTGCTTGCTGCTTTCACAAAGTCAAAGAACGATGAATCTAAACCCGACTTGACCTTGTTCGTCAACGTACAATGTGTTTCGCCGAACCTTGTACACAATCGCGACACTCGGTGAGATCTCCCGAGCATGCCATTGGCCTGCCGTCTACTATGGCGACTGGCTTCCTTGCGGAAACGCCATCCGATCCCGACCTTTATTCGAACCCAAAGTGCCAACTCCCTTATCCTTATGGCCATTCTCTCCCAGACTGACCCTTGTCGGCTCTGGCAACCCTGGATTTGGAAAGCCCTGCTTTGGTCCCTGACCCCATGTGCCTTATCAACGATCCAACGCCTCTACCGGCGGATAACGGATGACAACCCGATATGCTCGATTAACTCACCGCCGCGACGCTGAGCGAGGCCGCCCATCCATTTCGTCGAGGCAAGGATGCCGAGCGTGGCACGCGTGGCAAGCTCTAATCACATGCATCTGACATATGCCAACTCGAAGCAGACGTTTGACAATTTGCGAACGAGCTGGCTTTCTACGATAACAAGTAGCTCGAGGTCTCGAGCAGAGCACGCTATGCCTCCTTCCCCGGCAACTAAGACCTGCGGCAGGCTGCTGAATTCCACCATACACACACCTCAAAATGGGTCGACGCCATCTCCTTTACAGGTCAATATGCTCGTTGAACCTGTTGCCGTTCAATAGTTGTGTTCTTTACGAAACTCCGAGCTGAGGTTCTGTCATGGAATCGACAGGGCTGGCTGCATATTGCCGTCCACGATGGGCTACTCCTCATAGTATTCATCTTTGACAGAGAGGCATTTCCCCTCTCTTTCTCTATCAAACTCTCTCTCTCACACACATCACAGGTTCCCGTCAACTGCAGTGACTTGTGTGCCTACAGGCAGCTGGGAACCTTGTGCATGTCAGCAATATCGTGATGATAGTGTCGGTGGGATCCAAGCCCGTGGCATTCTTTGGTCTCCTTCTATTATCTCCACTCTTGGAACCACATGAATTCTCTCCCATGTGCCGTCAACGCTTTACCATAGTTGAGAAAAGGAATGTGAGTATTCCTCCAGGCAATCCCTCAGCATTACCGGCCAATCAGCCGATGATGTATCAGGATTGCTTGGTACAGCGGTTACAGGACCAACCAAAATGCTTCGTTTTCCGTGGCTCCGAACAGCGCGCCCTCCACCAATAGTCCAGCCTCGTTCGTTGACACAAATGCCTGCACTCCCCTCGTCAACATCCTGAGGAGATGAATTTGATGTAGAAACATCCGACATGCAGCGCTCATCCTCGTCTGCAGATTGAACACTGAATAAGACCGACTTGGTCAAAAATCGCGAGCTCAAAATGGCCGGCTTTGGCGACACCATCGCCTCACTTCTGGAAACATATTCCAAGTGTCTGTGTCTCCTGAAGGGCCTAAAGGGGGCTCGTGGGAACAAGCAGCCTCGACAACTTCGAAGAAGCATTCGCTCCGACAGGTCCAGGGTTCGAAGTGTATACTCTTCAAAGCTGTCCGTGGCCGGGACTCATCTTGAAAAGGGCGACGGTGCGTGTTTCTGCGTGCAGCGGCTTTTTAAGCTCATGTACTAATGTATCACAACAGCCGTGGCTCGATCTTCTGTGCGAAGAGTGATTAAGCGTCTTACATCGGCCACGACCAACTTGCTTCATCTCATGACCAGAGGCCAGAACCCGGTCATTGACTACCAGTCACTCAAGACTCTGTCCAACTCATCGCGTGTCGACGCTGTCAAAGCGATCAATGACCTGTCACGGAGACTTAGCACTCCGTCCTTGAAGTCTAGCTCGTCCGGGTCAAGTAAGAAGCAGAAGCATCCGAAGAGGATGCTTGCGGCAGACAGCAAGTCCAAGTCGAAGGACAGGGAAGCCTCGGAGCGCAAACTTCTCAAGTCTGCGGCGGAGGCGAACGAAACAGAGACCAAACCTGGAAACCCTACCTATACACAGCACCTCAAAGCCGAGAAACGTATGTCCATGGCAACGATGTCATCAGGCAGCACCAAGCTTGGCGAGATTGCCCCCAACAAGTTGCGACGAAGGCCATCGGAAAAGCCGGCATCGACAGATCAGTTCAGCGTGGCGCCAACATACCCGTTGAGACCTTACCATCAACCGGAGGTCAAACGCAAGAGGCTGTGGGGGCTTTTCGGGTGACGATGAACTCACATCTTGATGAAGGGCGTTTACTCTGCCTATTGATACTGGAAGCCACAGAAAGCAGTCTGCACAACGCATAGGAACATATGATGAAGGAACGCATAATCCAACCCAAATAGCTATAGCGGGGAATAATTGGATGGGATATGATTCACGAGAACAACGATATACGCAAACTACGACGCTGATATAGGCGGATAGGAAGGCCAGATATGAGTATCTATAATAACACACAGGTTTTTAGGCGAGGAGCTCTGCATTGCGATGCAACCGCGGGGTAAAAGCAACAATTTACAGATTGATGATGAAGGAAGCCCTCGATCGAAGCCGCACAAACTCGGGGTATCATAGATAGATACACGAATCAGAGACGGCAAGCTTGTGTGACCTTAATCCTGCAATACCTTATTGATTGTTTAACCTCACCAAGACTCATATCGCTGTCGGGAGTGGTTCATACTCCCCACGCTGTTGGGGGGAAAAACCACCATTGGAAAAATAAAACGCAAATAAAGTAAAGAAAGCCGGCTGCCTTGAGGGCACTCCAAACCCAGAAGTAGTCTCGAGTACCACTGCACGCAATCTGTGTGGAGGACTACAAGTGGGACACCTGAGCTGACAGCGCTGGACGTCACTGGCTCTGCCCCACCATCCACATCGACGTCGATTCCCTATCCACCTCGAATGGGCCCAAGCGTGTCTTCAACTCGATATCGCCTTTCGCAACGTGCTCACACGACGACGACGACGACGCCTAGATCGACGGCCGACCAACCTCAACTCAATCGCTGACTGTCGCCTCGAGTCTACCACCATTGGACTGTCGATAGAAGCTACAGAGGAGCGGCAGAACATGCAGCACCGCCCCTACTGAATCATCACGACTCATTCTTCGCTGCCGACGCCGCCCCTCACCTCACGATGCCTTCAGATCCCGCCGCAAACCTTAGCGCCCTGCTGCGCGCAGCTTCTATCGAAGACCATGAAGAGGTCCTAAAGGCTGCCAATGCTTCTCTGAAAGCCTCCAAGACTGACATCGTTGCCCAACGCACCCGCGTTGTCGCCCTTCTCAAGCTCGACCGCTTCGACGACGCCCTCCGTGCGATTGCTGACGGCGGCGACAAGCTCGAGGTCGCTAGCCTTTTGGAAAAGGCCTATGCGCTTTACAAGACGGGGAAGCTACAAGAGGCCCGCGAGGTTGCCAATTCCAAGCCCCAGCGAAGCTTTCGCCACCTGGTTGCTCAGGTGGCCTATCGAGCCGAAGACTTCAAGGACGCGCTCGACGTCTACAGCAGCCTGTTGGAGGATGAGCAAGGAGAGGAGAGCGATCTAAAGATCAACCAGCTGGCGTCCGCCGCCCAGCTGGAATGGAAGGTTTCCAACAGCCTTGACGGAGAAGACACCCTGATTCCCGCCGCCGAAGATGCCGACACCTTCGAGCTTGCCTACAACATTGCCTGTGGTATGATTGCCCGCGGAGAGCTCTCCGAAGCTACGAAGCTGCTCCAGAGAGCACTGCGCCTCTGTGACGACTCTGAAGAGCTCTCGGAAGACGACAAGAAGGCTGAGATGACCCCCATCATGGTTCAGCAGGTGTATGTCTATACTAGGTTAGGCAAGACCGAGGAAGCTCTCGCGATCCAGAAGCAACTATCCATTTCAGAGTAGGTTGGCCCAAAATTCTTTCTAAAGGAGGTTTTTGCTTACCTCTGTTACTCAGGGACTCTGACGCCGAGTCTCGACTGATTGCGCTGAACAACACCTCAGCTCTTGCGACCGAGGTCGACAACCCATATTTGGCCCAGCGCAAGTTCGACACCGCAGCAGCCCTCAGCAAACAGGCGAAGCTCTTCAAGTATCAAGAAAGCCAGCTGGAGCAGAATAAGTACATTCTTGGCCTGCAAGCTCAAAAGTTTGATGGCGTGTATGAAAAGTCGTCAAAGGCACTCGCAAAGGCTTCGCCAACAGTGTCCGTCGACACAAACGGTCTTTCGGCCATCAATGCCACAGCCTTTGCTTTGCGTCGCTCCAAGGTGGTTGAAGTGAAAGAGGTTCTCCCTTTGATTGAGAAGCGCCCCACAGATGTCGGTCTGCTCCTCACCATAATACAGCTCTACCTCACAGCAAACAACCCCGGTGCTGCGTTGTCCGTCCTTGAGCGCTTCCTGCAGAACCTGGAGAAGCAAGGCCCATCAGAAGTGCGCTTCTCTCCCGGCCTGGTTGCCTTGACTGTCTCTCTTTATAGACAGCAGGGCCGCCATAGCAACATACGATCAGAGCTAGCGAAGGCATCGTCCTTCTGGGAGAAGCACGATGGTCGCCACGTCGACTCTCTCCTCCGTGGCGCCGGTTCGGAGCTCCTCAAGTCATCTGAGCCCACGGATCTTGCAGCTGCTGGCGCTGCGTTTGAGAAGCTTTGCCAGAAGCCCGTTGCGGACCCCGTTGCCGCCGCTGGCCTTGTGGCATCCTTCGCCACATCAGACAGAGCAAAGGTGACGCCTCACCTCGCTGGCCTGCCTCCCATTGACGACCTCCTCCGGGGGGTCAACGTCGACGAGCTCGTCAGCAATGGCGTCGTCACCACTGCGCCGGCAGCCAGCCAGGCCAAGAAACGCCGCCTCGATCAGCCCACTGACGCAGGCAACAAAAAGAAGAGAAGAAGAAAGCTGCCAAAGGACTATGTTGAGGGCAAGAAGATGGATCCTGAGCGCTGGCTGCCCCTCCGCGACCGATCCTCGTACCGCCCCAAGGGTAAGAAGGGCAAGAAGAAGGCCCAGGAAGCGACGCAAGGTGGCTTCGTCAAGGAGGAGGAGACATTGGAGTTGGCCGGTGGCGCAGGATCTGTCAAAGTCGAAAAGGCGCCGACGACGTCGTCGAACAAGAAGAAGAAGAAGGGCAAGAAATGAGGAAAGGTGCTGTAGGACTTACTAGCCCCTCTGTCAAGAACATGCTGAAGGTCATGCTTGTCCTACCATGGCTGCATTACCAAAAGAAAAAAGTTCATTACTGTTTCTCCCATGACCGCGAATCCATGAACATGAGCTGAGTTTGGGAGACTAGTAACAATATGTCGTGAAAGAGGTATTGTTTGATTGAGTACGCGCTCTATCTACTCTTGCCATGTACCTCTCTTTCCGAGTCTGGCCCCCTAATCGACCGTCATAACGTTGGCCTCAAAGTCCAGACTCCTTTCACCCATCAGCCATCCACCCACAGTACACACCTATTGTTCTGGATCGACTACACTTTGCCATTTCACCGGATCATGGTTGTTGACGGTAGAAAGAAGTAATTTTGAATCACAGCCAAGGAGCGCTGTCCGGCCCTACCTGCGCATCCTTTAATGATGCTGCTGTCTGTCAAATGGCCCCTTCCCGCTCATCCCTCTCTATCAAATCACTAGCTACCCTTTTTCTCGCTCGCTGGTATCTTCCGTTTTCTCCTGACTCATCCCCAGATCCGCATCATCCGATATCAACTAGTTCTACAATGTCGGCATGGTTTTTTACAAGATGAATAATCGCCACGAAAAGTTTCGCCTCTCCATTTGTGTTATGAGACCTAGCTAGGCCTTGACTGCTTGCACAGGGGGGCTAGGCAGCCTTTGCATCTCAGCACCCCTCTCGTCTTCCTCCTTCTCCTCCATCTGGGTTTCCAAGGGCGTCGAAGGCTCAGACGCGGTTGCCAGTGGAGTTGCCAGAGCAGAAGAGATGGGTTGTGGACTTATGATCAGCTGAGGGCTGGGTATAGGCCGTGGGCTGACGATTTGCGGACTGCTCACAGCTGCCTCGCTCTCTTCTTCATCTCCAGACTCATTCTCGATTGGAGGAAGCGGTGTCCTTCTTCCCTCAGAGAAACTAACTGCTGCCTCGCTCTCGCCATCGGATGGCACCAAGAGGTGCCCGCCAAAGGCGGGTGCTTTGGACGCATGTGCTGAAGAATACTTGCGATGGAGTTCACGGAAGCTCCTGGCCGTGGCAGTGCTGGCGCTGGCAGCTGATTCTCTTCTTTCTGTGGGTTCCAGCGAATCATTCAAAGCGTCGTGGTAGTCTTCTGCGACACTGACTGGGGATGCAGGCTCGTCTTGCTTACGCTGCTTCATGCGCTCCTCCGGAGTAAGTTGCTGTAACTCGGAGCCGAAATTGATAACGGACGCCTTCTTTCCATGTACCACAAAACTGCCGGAACCCCTGGTGAGCACGTCCTCACGGCTAGTGTCATCTGCGCCGCTGCCGGAGATGATTTCCTTGCCCTTTCTGCTGCGGTGGTGTGAAAGATGGCCAGCACTTTCTCTGAGTGTGCGTTGGAGGCTTCGCCGGATCTTGGTCTTGTCTTGTTTGTCGATTGAGCCAGGCGTATCTCGCGACTCCGAGGCATCTCCTGGTTCAGAGAACGACCCCGTTCGCTTCCGTTCCGGGGGAATTCGCCCGCGAGAGCCCGACTCTAGCAGGCCGGCTTGCTGTAGTAGCGCCCGTTCATTTGCATCAACGTCTTCATGTCGGTCATTGTCTGTGGACTGTTCGCCCCTCTTCTGCGTCGAATGCTGTTGCGGGCTGTAGAAAGTCGGCTCGCCAGATGACTGGCTGGAGCTGGAACCAGGTCTCTGAGGCTGAACACGCTCTGCCGACTTGGAAACTTTCGAGTCCCATGAGTTTTGATGCTTGTGTGGGCTGAAAGTAGCACTGGTAGGCGGGGTTTGATAAGCTTCAGTGACGGGAGAGTCGGGCTCTGTTTGCGGAGTTTTCGAAGGCTGGATTGTTGAGACAGCGGCAGATGATCGCCTGCGCCTGCGTGCCACACTATTTGCCGATACGGCGTCGAGAATAGAAGGCCTTTCTTTGGCAGAGGGTGATGTCTCACGAGGCTCTCGGCCGTTTTGAGTTGTAGTAGGAGTAAGACCCCGAAGACTCTGCTCCTCAGCTAGATCCTTCAGTAGAACATCCCGATGACACATTGATTTCCACATGTCCATGCGAGTCCACTTGATCTTGACATCCATGTGAGCTGCAGCTGACAAGATCTGATCTCTGGTTTTGCCTTGAATAGGCGATAGGATTTGAAGGTGCCGGGCGTTCCTCAAGTGTCCTTCTAATTCTTGCTCCTTCAGAGCAATTTCTTCATCAGCTTTGGCGACTGCGTCCATCATAGTCTGCCGTCGTTGTGCCTGGATGGACTCGGCCTCTTTGTGGTCAATCTTGCCTCTAACAATGCTAACATCGCCTGTTGGAGTCTGGATGACCTGAGCAGAGGCCGAACTGCCGAGTCTCCTAATGCCGCGCCGGCTTTGGCCCTCGTAATTACCTCCCACGACGCCTCTCATGCGAACGCCTGACGTCGTAAAAGCCGCTGCATAGTTCAGCTTGGCTAGCCAATCATTCATCTCTTCCTCGTTATCGGCCAGGAGAACTTCCTCCACATAACCGCTGGGCTGAGAATATTTGAAGGCGTTCTTATGCTTCTTATAGGTGGAATCGACGAGCGCAACAGCTTCCTTAGTTGGCAGATACCCGTCTGGTTTGAATTCCGGAAGAGGCGGCTTGAAGGTTATTGGCTCGCCATCGAAACCCTGCTTAACATGCGACTCGTACTGGTGCATTAGGTTTTTTATCCAAGTGGTGTTGCGGAAAAAGTAGAGTTGAGCGCCTGTGAGAATGGCTCCCCATTCCTGCCACGGTGACCTCGTCTTCTTCTTCTTGACATCTTTGCGCCACAGAAGCCCGACCTTGGTGATCTTGATGTCAACAACGCCCTGTGCCGCCTCGGCCGGGTTGCTGGAGCCCTTGTCATCGCGGAAAGCATCAGGCCGGGATCTGGCCGACACGATCTGCAACACTCCGGTTCTGAAGAAAGTTCTTTGAAGCTCCTTTACGTTGAGATCTTTTGCCGTCCCTAAGTAGTTGTAATGGTCTTCGAGTTCCATTACGTCTTTGAGACTCGGTCGCAAGATATCCAGCTTGCCGTCTATTATAAGTGTGTAAGGATCAAGAGGCTCCCGGTTTGAACGCTTGGCCGTAGTTTCCGGTGTGCCTCCTGGGAAAATCGTCTTCCGCTTGGCCCTGTTTGCCAAAAGTCGATCGCTGTTGAGGTCTAGGTCATCCTCGACATGAATGAAAGGAGTATACGTAATGTTGTCGTAAAAACAGCTCAAGACTGAGTCCGAAACACCCTCCCCTTTGGTGTTCTTCAAGTAATCGGGCTGCTGCATCTTGTGCTTGTTGTTCTTATTGAAGACATCAGTGTGTAAAATAAGTAGTGAGAATGCGACGAAGTACGCCTGATCTGGAGAGGCGTAAATGCCAGGGTTGCATTCGTGGTAACGGTTCGCAAAAGCCTGTAGACACCTGTCTATCTGCTGCGTCTCCTTCGGTAGTTCGGCCTCCATGAGCAGCTTTCGGATAGCCATATCCATTGGGTACTCAAAGAAGCTGAAGCGGCGCATATAGCTCCGTAAGACTGCTATTGAGAACGGATCACTCCCCTTGGACAACGCACTGGCAATTACTCCGCGACTCAATATTTCCTCTATTCGAGCGAGGTACTTGACGGGAGTCTCGTCCTCAAGCCTCTCGGGTAGAGGAATGGCTTCGCGGGCAATCTGCAACGAGTTGTTCTTTGAAGTGTTGGATCCAGGCGTTGCTGGTGTCAGGCTGCCTTGTCGACCCTGGCCAAGATCGGAGTTTTGGCGTAGTCGATTCAGCCCGAGTAGGTCACCGAAGCTTTTGCGCCCAACTGACGTCGATGCTCGACCATTTCCAGGGTCAAGATGACCATCCGTGGAATCCCTTCCTAGAGAACTCATAGTTGACGATCTGCCACGGCGCTGTAAGCGGGCACGCGTAGGGGAGGACTGTCCCGAGTTTGTTGATCCTGGTCTGAACAGAGCAGTAGCAGGTGAAGCATTGGGCTTCGCAGACTGCTCATGCGCAGAGGACGCCACAGAGTTGGCCCTTGTGCTGTGACTGGAATGAGGTCGCGAGCCTTGCTGAGGACGAGGGGTTCCCTCTCTAGAAGTAGAAGCAGCGGCTGGCTGGGGACCGCCGAGAGATGAAGATGACGTGGCGGGGTTGTCAATCGAAGGCTTGCCCTTCTGTGGTAAATGAGACAAGTCAAACATTGGCGCTGCAGTCTTGGGTTTCCTTCGGGGTAGGCGAAAAAAGCTGGAGCTTGACGGTACCGGAGGCGAGTTGCCTAGGGTGTTTGTAGCAAATAAGTGTTCTCCTGAGCTGGCGTCGGAGCGCGACGATTCTGATGCTCGATTATTGGGAAGAGATAGGTTGGGAACGTCATGATGCTCTCCGTTCGTCGGCGATCTCGAAGATGCTGGGCGGCCAGGCTCCTCAAAAGTCACGAGGGTTGGCCGGTTTCTCGATGCCATGTCTTCCAACCCCGTCTTTCTTCTCGTTGACTTCCACGTCATGGCCCTTCCGCCTCCATCCTCGCTATGTCTTGGCAATTCGCCTGAGCGTCGAAAGCGATCCGCGAGTCGCATGCGCGACTGCTTCTTCTGGGGAACCTGGAGGTCGGCGGTGGGAGCTGTCGTGATAATCTCAGGGGCTAATGTAGCTGGTCAGCAAAGTGATCTTAGGAAGACTCGGTTCTTGCCTTGGCGAGAGCCGTTTGGGGGGAGAGTGGTTAGCAGAAACATACGGCGAGGTACAGGAGGGGGCTTTTCAGCCTGTTGTTTAGCCCTGACCGACAATTGCGAGTCGGATGCGTTGCGAAACCTCAATATGGAGAAACGACGGTGCTTTGGTGTCTCTTCCTGGATAGGAGGGGTATCCGGTCGCGCATCAGGGTCATTGGGATTCGGTGGATTGAGAGCGCCATCATCGTCGTCGGATGGCCTAGGCAAGGCCAGAGACGTAGACAGAGGTTCTTGTACCGAAATGGACACAGAAGGTCGCGGTTGACCCCCTTGAGTTTCCTGTTCCTGCTTCTGTTCCTGTTCCGGATGCGAGGTGGGCGGCGGTGGCGGCGGCGATGATGGCAGTTTGAGCTCGGGTATCGGATTTGAGTGGTCGCTGAGTTGTTGCTTCTTGTGCTGTTGTGATTGGGGTCGAGAGAGAGACTGCAGCGGCGGCGGGGGCGGCAGCTGGTCGGGCTGTTGGTGGTGGGATTGAGGTCGCTGGGGAGGGAAATGTTGAGGGAGCGGCGGTAGCTGAGGCGCAGTCTCGGACTCAAGAATGGTATGGCGCCTCATATCGGTCTCGCTGACCATGTTGCCGCGACGGCGTAGGAAAGGCATGACGGCGATGGGTCATGGTTTGCCAGGGATATATCGTCGGAAGTGGGAGGATGACGACCGCGGCCGAGGTCACGTCTGGGTGGTGCGGTGGGATGCCGTATGATCCGGACGTTAAGCCATCAGCACAAGGTGGAATTGTTGAGTACGGAGGCGGGAGACATTGGCGAGTCTATCAGATGAGGGATGCGCGGTGGAAGTTGAACACAAAGGAGGAGAATTGGACGGTAGGGAGGCCGAGTAAGCAGTGTCAAGGTGAGGTCAGGTTTGGTAAGGCCAGGCGAGACGGGGCGAGGTGAGTTAAGGTGAAGTGAGGCAAGGGTGTTGTTTATGTTAGGCTAAGCGCATTGCAACGCAAGAGACAGGACGACCGGGTTTGGGGGTAGGGGTCCTTAGGTTGGTTGCTGGATACGGTAGGTGTAGGTAATTATCCGTAGGCTGGTCCTCTGCTGGCGTTGGCGTACCTGGCCGCGCAAGGTGAGGCAAGGTACCTCTTCGTACCTTTAGGGGAAGGAGGACGAAGGGAGGGAGACCGAGTAATATTGTGGACAGCTGAATGTGGGGGGAGGAGAGCGAGAAAAGGCGTGGAGAAGTGTTTTCGAGACGTGAGCCCGAGGCGAGGGAATCTAAGTGAAGCACCAGAAGTCGAAAGTAAGGCAAAGAAAGAAAACGTCCTGTAGGTACAGTTGAGGCTGGATGCGAAAGAAAAAAGAGATCAACAGGGAAAAAGCACACATACGACCCAATTGGCATCAGGTTGGCGTTTGCGTGCGCTGTCGTGGGCAGGCACGCAGCGGCGTCCCAGTCTCATAGGTAAGGTAAGGTACGGAGTAGGCACCGGGGGAAAGGGGGGGGGGGGGGGGCGGAAGGGGAAAAGAAGACTTTTAGAAGCCATAATGCGACAGACCACAAACGGCAGATACGTTGAATAACGGAAACAGTGCACATTGTTAGGTACTCATCACTTCAGTTTTTCATACGGAACAGGACACGACTTTGATGCAAGGTCATGCCATATAACGGGCATTCGACGGACAGCGGCGAGAGTTAGGAAGCTACGGATAGAGAGGGAGAATCGCTGGGCTGGACTATTCAGAATACGCTACTTTACCTTAGCTGCGAGTTTACGACTAATAACATCCTTGGACTGACGCAGCAAACTGGAGTGGGCCGGTTCCAGGCTGCCCGAGGTGCCACGCATTTTTGCACACGTACCCAGCAGCCGGGGGGCTGGGCTGAGGTTCCTAGCCTCCAGGTCAGCAACGTGGTAGAGAACCTAGCACGGGGCTTAGGTAACTTGGGCAAGATGTTATTAGTAGGTAGTCATGTGTATCTATCCCCATCTACTAATACCTCAGGTAATGTGCTAGGTCGACATACAGGTACGTTGGCTTGAGTGTCTTGCACCGAACTGAGGTTACCATGGGCAGGAATACACGCACTGGATATGGGACGACAAATGACGAGTCCGTAGACAGCCATGGAGGAATGAGAAACCGACGAAGATACGGAGTATAAGGTAGGGAAAGGAGGACAAGCAGGGTCAAGCCTGGCGATCCTCAGACTGCCAATTTGGTGAGCAAAGGGCAATGTTGAGATGAAGCGCCAGGGCAGACACGACCAGTCTGAAATGAAGAATACGCTGGCCGGGCTGCGGTCCGGGCACCATATGAAGCCCACCTCGCTACTCAGTGCTCAGTGGAGGACTCTCGTCAGGACTCAAGTGCAACTTGCTAGGGGTTCAAAGATTGACCTCCTAAGGTAAGCTAGGTAAAGAGGATCAGGGATAGTCCAATCTCTGAACTTTGGCACAATTGATTGACCCGACGGGAGTGCCGGTCCAGCCAAGGGGCACCTCCCATTACTTAAGAGACCATGCCTCATGCGTACCTTTACCCATATCAGGTGCCTTAGCTAAGCATGCAATGTCTCCAAAAAAGGTACAAGCACCAATTGCGCTGTTCTGGTGCCTCGATTGTTGCCTCCCGCTTTCCAGCGTTCCTCACATACCTCAAATAATGGAAGACATGGGGCCGCGATGACATCTTTACACATTCGCTGCGATAGTCGCATCTACAATGCCAAAAGACATCATATGTTGGCTACCAAATACCAGCATTGCTTCCTCGTCCCTTGGAGTCAATGACATGTGCAGTGATCCCGTCACCGACAAGGATCGTGTTGCGACGGCCAAACCCAGTCACCCAACCTACAAGTAAGCGGCTGCCTGAGCCTGCTCCCTGCCAACTCCGAGGTGAGGCAAGGCCAGCCGTGCTGTTGCATTCCTTATCGCTCGCTCACCTGCATTTTCCTCAACTTCGCTCCAAGTCTCCATCCTCCGGGTCCCCGAGAGTGTGTCGCGATTCTATCGCTACAACAACCCCCATCATCGCAATTGACCCTCGGTCGCATCGCCCGCATCCATCACTCCCTGACGCCGGGCTGAATTGACGTCAGTAATCTTCCACACCCGACTATCACAATAGGCTTTGCTCGTCGCCATGCGGCCTCACGTCGTCTTGTCTTCGCTGGCCAGCGTCGCCATTCTTGTCCCCGCCGCCTCCGCTGCACGTTTCGACGCATACCCCGAATATCGCCACGACGCCTCCGCTACTGCCGTGAGAGCCAAGTCTGACCTCTTTCCCTTCCTGAAAAGACTTCGGAATGGCGTCGTTGAATTCGTCTTCGGACCCCATCCTGCCAAAGCTAGCCACCTGACATCTCACGTCCGAACAAGCCTGCGAGACGATCACATCAATGAGGTCGTCTTGCGCTTCAATCTCACCACCGCGGAAGAAGAGTCTGCCTTTGCCGCCGCCGCCGCCCGTACCTTTCTAGACATTTGGGCCTTCAACCATGAATTCGTCGATGTTCGAATTCGCCAAGACAATGTTCGATCGCTGCTTGGGCTTCTGCCCGACTCTCTGAAATCAGCTTACTCGACGTTGATATCGGATGTAGCAGCCGCTGTGTACGACACATATCCTGCCGTCGATGTCCCGGCTCAGACTTACCGCATCCCCGATGGTCGCGCAAACCTCAAGAATGCGCAAAACGGGAATGAGAACTATTTTTTCCAGGATTACCAGAGGCTTGATGTTTGTGACCTCACGCCCGTGCAAGCACTGCGGAGCTCAAGCTAATACGTTCTAGACAATCGTCCAATGGATGCGCTTAACCGAAGCTATGTTCCCAGCCATCACCGAAGTTATAACCATTGGGCAATCCTCTGAACAACGAGATATTCTCGGTCTCAAGGTTGGCATGAAGACCCAGGCGCCAGGCAGCGAAAAGCGGAAGACAGTCGTTGTTGCGGGAGGGATGCATGCAAGAGAGTGGATTTCCACGACAACTACCAACTATGTCGCTTGGTCATTCATTACGGCCTTCGGCAGGGAGCCCATGATCACCAAGCTGCTGGAGCACTTCGATTTCATCTTCATCCCGGCTGTCAACCCCGACGGTATCGAGTACACCTGGACTACAGATCGACTGTGGCGCAAGTCCCGGCAGGAGACGGGTATGTCTTGGTGCCACGGTTTCGACCTCGACCACGCCTTTGGCTATGAATGGGGCGACTACTCCGAAAACGACCCTTGCTCTGAGAGCTATGGCGGTAAACAGCCATGGCAGGCTGCCGAAGCCAGAGCTGTAGCACTCTGGGCGAGGAATGCATCCTTGGAGGATACCGAGTTTATTGGTCTCATTGACCTGCACTCCTATTCTCAACAGGTGCTATTTCCCTTCGCATACTCCTGCGACGTCGACCCGCCCAATGTCGAGAACCTCGAAGAGCTCGCTGCTGGGCTTGCCAAGGCCATCCGTCTGTCCAACGGAGAGCTGTACTCGGTCACATCGGCGTGCGAAGGAGCTGTCGCAGGACGAGGCTCTGCTCCAGGTGCTAAGCGTCTTGAGACAGGCGGTGGATCGGCCATTGACTGGTTCTATCATGAACTGCACGCGCATTATAGTTACCAGATCAAGTTGAGGGATACCGGCAGCTACGGCTTCCTTCTTCCCAGGGAAAACATCATTCCCGTCGGCGAAGAAATATTCAGCGCGATGAAGTACTTTGGAGACTATCTCCTTGGCAACAACGGAATCGAGAAGTCCGTAGGAGCCTTGACACCAACATCCGACGAACCGGATCGTAGTCTGGAGCTTCGACGACTCAGAAAGCGCAAATAGTTAAGCAGTCAAAAGGATGGGCTTTGAATCTTTATTTTCAAGCTTCATCTACTCCGTGGCTCTTTCTGGGGGAAACAAGCCAGAAAGCAGCAGGAGAGCAAGAGAAGTCAGTGGTGGGACACAGCAACCAGGGTGTACGACATGGAGTTATGGCGATGGTGGGAATTTGGTCAGGTATTATAGTCACGGTTGTACGCAGCGGTTATTAAAGCAATGGGTCGGTTCACTGGGACATTACTGTGGGATACCATAGTCGTCTATTCCCAATATTCTTTGTATGATTTTACAGCGGCTAGTAAAGCAAGAGATTGGATCGTATTCCATAGACAGCGTACCAAGGTGCAAAGTCTCCTTTACCAATTCATAATCATGGCGAGAGCGGTGTAGGTGGACGTGAACTTGAGTGCGGTGTCGAAGAGGAAAGAACCAATGGAGCCACTGCGCATTCACATGGGAGTTAGCAAAGAGTTTCTCTGGGCTGGAGAGACCAATTTCAAGAAGGCGGAGAGGAGAGAGGTCTTGGGGGCAAAAACGCACCGAGTCCGGCCCTTGGGGCCAGCGCCGCTTGTGTAGCCAAAGGCGTAAAGGATACGGGACAGGGTCCAGCCGGCGCCGAGGACGGCGCTGGCGACGGGGAAGCGGAGGCCGGAGATGAGAAGGGCGCCGAGGAAAGAGGGCTGGTTCTCGGTGAAGTTTGCGTGGGCGCGTTGTGCTGTGATTATGCGTTACCGTTAGTGATTCCGGCTTCTCTATTCCTTCCCTGTCTGCTTCAATGGGAAGGGAACAGAGGGGCAGAAGAGGCAGGAGGAAAACCGTACCGCAGTTGAACTGGTATGCCTTGGGGTCCTTGTCGGCCTGCTCGTTGGAGGCGTAGGGGGCCGGGTAGACGAGGCCGCTGGCCTTGCGGTACTTGCTTGTCAAGAGAACGTGGGTGGTGTTGATGAAGAAGGTTGAGGCGGCGACGAGGAGGACGTAGCTGTTGGATGGGATTTGGTTAGCTACCCTGAGCTTCAAAGGTATCTGCTTCTGTCTGTGGAGAGGGAAGACAGGGAAAAAGAGAGGTAGAGAGAGTCCGCAATACGTACCCGTACTCGTCGGGGACCTGGAGAGTGAGAGGCATGATGGCAATAGGGTGATTGAATGGAGAGGTGGTTAGAATGAGCTTGCTGGATTACTGATCTGGGTGTTCATGCAATTGATCAAAGTAAGTTTTGGCGGGATGCGACTTGGTTGTGTGTACAGGATTGACAGGCAAACGGCTACGCAATGACCATAGTCTTTATATTTACTAGTATGCGACCTTAAAGCTACGTCAGGAACGTGTCCTTGCCTGGGGGGTCGTGTCCGTTTAGCTCGAGACGCCAGACGTTTTGGTCCGGGCTTTCTTTCTCCATGGGACCATGTTCAGGTCCAAAAGAATTGAGGTGGTCCTCCGCTCCGCTCTCTATCCCGGGCTACCTAATCGTACCCTGAGCCCCCTTGTGTTCTAGGCTGGGCAGACTGTCGTGCCGTGGCACCGAGCCTGCCATGTTTTCCGTGTAGGCGGATACAAATGCGTGTACCTCGTGGTTGGGCGTAGCCCTTGGAAGATGAAAGAATAGGATTGTCGGGGCATCTCAGGGGTGGAGGACGGCCACATTTTGAGCCCGATTGCCGATGATGGCTGCGATTGACCAATCACTGTCTGTCCGGCGAGCTGTGAGCGGGGCTGTTTTGACGTCCCGTTGTGCGGACTTTGATGCGGACTTTGGACTCACCTTAGTAATTGCTTGCTTGAGGAAGAAAGTGCATGAGATTCTTCCGCAGCGTACGGAATCATTGTGCTGCCTTGGAGATTCCAACGACAAATGTGTGAAAAGGAAAGTGAAGTTATTCCCATAATGACACTACCTTACATTGAACCCTGCGCTGTTGCCCAGACGTACGTTTCTTATAAGTGATTAAGGTTGGTAGCGTTTCGGGACTTTTGCCCGTTTGGCAGCTCTTCTCTCCCAATAAGATGCTGACGGGGAGTTAGCACGCAATTTTAGTACCGGCTTCGCCTTGTGATCGGCCCCTAGGATCTCTGGGGTCGACGATATCTATCCGTACCCAGGACTATTACCACGAGCTTGACAAGGACTCGGGAGGCAGATAATCTGCAGCCACTTCCGAAGGCGCCGGTGACGGTAGGCGAGGTTCCAGAGTGTCGGGTCAACCGGTGCTAGGTCCATTCAATGTTTCTCAGGCTCTGTAACGATTCAGCCGGTGCACCTGTCCTCGGGAGGAACCCAATCGAGGCCCAGACCCTGGAAAACCCTTCTCTCGGCTGTCAACATGTCCGGGGCCGGCCCGAGATCGCTGGTCTCTAGGTCGACCCAACTACCGTCGAGCCGGCTTCGAATTCCACTGCTGTCAAACTTGTAGCTCTTCCGCTGCTTGCAATACCGGCGCAGGTCTCGTTGAAAAGTCGTCTCTCCGCTCCAGCCCAGGACAGCGCATCCAACCGTCTTCCAAGGACTGATGATGATGTCTACCCGCCGGTGCGGCCTCTCTTGCGGCCCTTTTCCACTCGTACCCGGTTCCTGCCAAACTACGAGTGCTTTGTCGAGTGAATCGAAGCCGCTTCCCCTAAACTCGTTCCCCTTCCAGCTGACGGGCTGCTGACCCCTCTCGCTATTATGTTTACTCAACACGAGGGTGTGCGTTATATGCCCAGTCTTTTCCAGGCTCATGACCAATTTGTCGACAAAGTTAAAAGTGACAGACTCATCCGGGTGACTTATCACCACGTCGACGTCCCCACTACCTTGCTTGCCACGCCGGTAGCCGCCAACAATGACAAGCTGAAAGTCCGGGTGAAAACTGCGGGCGTGAGCCAGGATCGTGTCAGTGATGGACTCGACTTCAGTTCGAGGTATCTTAAGCTTGAACTCGTCGTAGTACTTGACGCCAATTTGCTGCACGCGACTTAGACTTGCCCAGCCATGTTCGACAACGTCGTCCAAGTCTCGCCATCCTGTAAATGCTGGTCAGCAGCATGTTCTGGCTCAAGGAGGCAGCAACACAAACCTCTGCTGTAGAAATCACGAGCCGTAGCATCACCGACCCCCCAAATATCGTAGAATACCTGTATAACGGCAAACTTGGGGTTCGCCTGGGCTTCATCCGCCTCGGGAAGCCTACCAGTTTCTTTCCACTCATGCCACAGCTCGGCGATCTTAGCGCCGCAGCCGGGTAGCCTCGCAACTTCTATATGGAACATTAAAATATGCCAGGCATTGATCGAAGTTCCTCTCAGCAATTGTGTGCTCACCTTGCGAACTGGCTATCTTGTGAGGATATGCCGATATTGTAGCTATCGAGGTTGAGTACGCCCTCACTCCTATTTGGTCGCCTCCTAGTTTCCGTATGGTTCTGATTGTCTTGAGTCCATCAATGAATGCTGCATTTGGAGGATCAACGGGCGTAGATCTTTGGCAAGCATACGTCGTTCTGAGATACTGGGGAACAGGTGGCAACTTCAGTGTTGAGGCGTTCTCCGAAGTTGTCTGTCTGATCAACGAAGGCACTGACCGGTGCATCCCGGTAGGAGATTGCGCCTTCTTCTTCTGCGGTAAAAGACCGCCCTGTGTTTGAGACGCACTGTCGGCGGCAGCGCGGGACAATATGTCACTTCCCATAATAGTGAGAGGCGCGCGGTCTTCCTCCTTCTTAATGCCCATATAGAGAACATAGTCATGAAGCGGGAGTACCTTGTTCTGCGCAAACGAATCTTGGAGCCAGGCCAGCTTCACGACTGTGACAGTGTTCGTATTGCCGGCGGCCTCCTCAGGAGCTGACGATGTTCCGACGAACTGCGATGTGCCGCATCCAAACCTCTGTCCATCTTCCGTGTACACGGTAGAGTCGCTGTCACTTTTAGAAGATGCCCTCTTGCGCTTCCTAGGCGTGACGAGATGCGCATCTGCGACAGCCGCTGCATCCACCGGATCTGTCAGTACCTTCTTTCGCCTGAGTTCAAAAAGTGCCCTCTTTCGTTTGAAGATGTTGCCGACAATGATCTCGGCCTCGCTAATGTCGTATGTCAGACTCGGGATTCTTCCTTCGAGCTCATGTAGCTGATCCGCCTCTAGGTGAGTGGGAAGGAGATAGATCGAGGGAAAATCGAGATCTGTCATAGCCCCTAGCCAGAGTTGGCGCGTGAGTTGCTGCAAAGAACGACTATGGTAATGCGAGAAGGCCGGCCTTTTGTTCGGTCATGAGTGATATGAATGCATTGTAAGTCGTTCAGTGGCTGTCGTTCAGTGGCTGTCATTCGTGCGATGTGGATGTCGTTGGCAGAGTGTGAATGAGAGTACTTCCCCACTGCCCTTGACTGGTTCTCCTGCTGAAACGGCTGGAGGGTTTGCTCTGCACTTGCAATGCGACTGAAGCTTGTCGCGGGGTTGATGTGGAGGGAAGAGCAAATGATTTTTCGGACGCTGCGCGCTGTCGGCGATTCGTTCAAGTCAAGGCGCTGACATCATCGTCCCTGTACCATATGATTTAGCACGCATCACGTACTTCTGCCATCAAATCTCTCCTCAGATATGTTTCTGAATTAGCCTTTCTGGTCCAAGGAAGAATTTCTCATTCGTGCTCCATTTGCCAGGCACTCTACGTATTTCCCGTTTGTGTATCCCATTCTTACAACAACGAGATGCTTCCGCGAGCCTGAGAGAAGAAAACTTGAGATGCAAAGGGCGGCGGGCAATACCACCAACCTTCATCAAACCCTCGGCCACTCCTCCGTCGTCGTGCGGAGTCTCTTCAGGCCATTTCTTCGTCAAGGCACTTTGATGCTTCAATGTCTTCCTCGTAACTCTAGACATCCTCAAACTCCATGTCTTCGTCACTCTCGCCGTCATCCCCATCCGCTGGTGCTTCCACCTTGACCTTCTTGACTGCTCTTCCTTCAGACTCTGGCGAGGGCTCAGCTTTGATAGCCGGCGCCGGAGTTGCGATGCTCGGTGTGACATCTTCAAAGGCGTCTTCATCCTCATCATCGTCGTCATCTTCCTCCTCCTCCATTGCTCGTGCTGCCTCAGCCTCTTGCTCGGCTTTGAGGCGGGCGAAGTAGTCATCCAGCTCTGCATGTTCCGGATTATCTGCTGACTTTGACAAAGCCCCCTTGTCATCCACCTCCTCAACCTTGGTGGCGGGCATTGGATTGGCCTCGGCAGAGAAGGACTCGCCCGTGACCGTACTGTTAGACATCCACGAAGGAAGTGCATTTTGCTGTGCGACCTTCTCCTTGCGGGCCTTCTCCGCTGCCTTCTCAGCCTCTGAGGGTCCGTCCGCCGTTGAGATGCTGACTGACATAGACTTGGGCCCAACATTATCGAGACCCTTGACTGATGTTGGCTGCAAGGATGAAACAGGGATGGTGGTTACGCTCTGGTAACTGGCGTCGCGGACAACTGGTAAGGCTTTACTGATTGCGATATCGAAGGTATTATCTGGGACAATCATCTCGTCTATGCGCGGCAACAGTTCGGTGATGAACTTGAACTGGTTATTTAGTCGTGTCGACTGCTCGTGGCCTGTGGAGTTGCGCTCGAGATCGTGCGTAAGCGGACCATTGCACCGGTGACAGACAAAGCCAGTAGGGCCAACGTTGTCTAGCACCTCCATTTGCGTCCATTCTGATTTACACCGTCCGCAGAAGTATTCCTTGCGTTCGCTGGCCGGCACCGTGGTGCCTTGGATTTGCTTGTCGACTGTGTATACACGCCATTTGATGGCGTCAATCGTTTGGCGGTAGTCAATGTAGTAGTAGGTTCGATTGACAGGACGTGGCTTCGCCTCGGGATTCTTGGGATCTTCTCGATATTCTAGTCTCGTGTACCTAAGTAGTCGCCGTTGTCAGTCTCTGGAATCGCAGGAGAGAACTCAGGCGCAAGGCTTACACAGCTAGAAATCGGTCTTCTCTAAGCTTTCCACACGCCTTGTGGAGATCCTTTGTGTTCGTTGCCATCAGATACGCCAAGTCATCGTCTCGGAGGCTGTCGCAAGTTAGCAAATGTCGTGCTGGAAAGCAAGAGCGGCAGACGCACGCAGAGTGAATGATCAAAGCATCAATGATCAAAATGAAGCGCG